CTCACAACTCTGTGAAGTAGGCAGTGCTTATGTTATTACCCCATTTCACAGAAGAGGAAAAAAGAGATTCTGCGAATTGACATGACCAATGCCACAGAGCTCACTTTTGTATTCTGTGTGTTCTCCCTCACCCACTGTTGCTCCTGTCTGAGCTGCTTGGTGAGTCCCCGTGTGGCCACATTAGTCTCTTTAGACATCCCCCCATCAGAATAACTTCTGTTTCCGCCTTCAGAATTTCATCATTAAGGGCTCCCCACTCTCTTGGGCTTACTGCCCCCTGGCTGGCCAACTCATCCTTTCTCTCATTCTTTGGTAATTGACTCTCCCAGAATCTAGTAAATGCATCAAGCGAAGCCTGGATCTCCACTGTTAAATCACAAGCTCTGGTGTGATCCATTGCTCTTGTCTGACAGCATCATGGTCTTCCATCTGGCCCATTCAGATCATTCATTTCTGGAGTGAGGTTTTCCACTATCCGTTCTAAGGTGTCAATTCTCCTCGACATTCATCCCCCGTTTAGATTTTCCTTCCTGGTATCTCTTGTTTCATTTCCTTCAGGTACTTCTGTAGTCCCTCTGGCCAGAATATCTTTCTCTCTAACACTTTACGGGGACTTACTGTGAGGTCACTACCTCTTCCAGGTTTATCTCCTGGTTGTCTCTCAAAAAAGATTATTTCCAAATGATATTCAGAGTTTTCTCTAGTTTGTTGGGGGAGGATGGGGTAGATGGAGTTGGTTCAAGCTCTGCAAATGAATGATGTGGGCAAAGCTTGCCTGATTCTGAGTACAGTGGGCCAGATGGGGACCCTCCTTTCGAGGACTCTCAGGCTACTGTGCTGGGCATGGCCTTCGGGCTCCCTCTTGTCACTGGGCTTAGGACCTCTCCCTGGTGTCAGTCCTTCTCCCCTGCCACTGGACTCAGAGGCCGTTCCCGTGCTGAGCTCCTGCCATGGTCCTCAGGCACTGTACAGGCTGAGTTTGCCTAGGACCTTTCTCCCACTGGAATGTGCTAGTAGATCTGCCTGGACCACCCTGAAGCTGCTCTGCAGGGCAAATCACTGCCTTACCAGCTGTTGACAGAGAGCAAGCTCCAGCATATATTCAGCTAACTGAAGTCATTCATCACTTCAGTATCATGTAGCCACACAGTTCTTAGTCTGTTTCTCAACCTCCTTCTCTAATTCCTCCTTCTGTCCAAGTGGTCTATAGCATACCCCCAACCCAATGTCACTCCCCTTTCTTCTTCTGTGTATCTTTGTCCCTCCACCACACTTCTCACCTCAGCTTGTGAAACGTAAGCATGAATGGACTTTTCTAATCATGTAGAATGCTACTACACCAGCCCTTTTGTTTATTCTGTTGCTTTTCATGAGATACACCCTCCCAGGGTCACATTGTAATTCTAAGTCCCTACCCACAAAATCTCAGTGTAATCTATGACAACAAAATGTGTCCGAGAGATCCTTTGCTGGTTCATCATCCATATTATGCCCCTTAACTGTGAATATACCCCAAGACTCCCTTCTGGTCCTTCTCTTCTCTCCTATACTCTTACATCAATGCCCATGGGTTTGATTATCCTTGTGCAGATGACTCACAGATGTCTGTATCCAGACCCGATTTCTCCCCACAGCTCCAGTCTCCTATCAACAACTGCATCTTGGACATTTCAAATTGGAAGTCTTGGAGGCATCCGAAGAAAGACCTCTCTTTCTGACCTCATTGGACGTCACTCTTTTTCCCACATTCTCCAGTTCAGACAAACTGACCTTCCCTCTCTCTGTTCCTCACATATAACCCCTCATCTCATGAGTAGAAGCATTAGTTGACCTTCCTAATAAAACACCATGCTACTGTATACCAACCATCCTATCTCCTCTGACAGTTTTCAGTGACATATGTCCTTCACATTTCGTCCCAGGAATGAGCCTCCCTCTTCTCCTGTTTCATCTTGCTCCTCACTCCTTCAAGACAAGCACCACTTTCTCCATAAAGCCTTTTGTGATTCCCCACCACTACTACCACCAGTTATCAGTACCCTTCCTCTCTAGATACCTTGTATTTATTTTCTACGTATTCCATTCATACTTACATGTGTGCATATTATATCCCTCCAATAGAACGTATACTACTGCAGAGTATATACAGTTTCATTTTTTTATGTCTTGTATCTCCAGACCCTATCCCAGTGCCTGTTATATAAACAGTAGGTGCTTCATAAATGCTTGTTGATAGGGTCATAGATTTAGAGCCAAAAGGATCCTTTAAAGGCATTTTGACCAACCCCACCATCACCCCATTTCATAGATGAGAAAACTGAGGCTCAGAATGAGGACATGCCTTTCCTAAGGTTGCGCAGAGACAAAATGGAGAATAGGGATGTGGACCCTGCTCCTCTGTCTCTAAATCCAAATACGTCCCACAGCTCACCTTGTGTTAGGATCTCTCACTCACCCTGCTTATTCACCATACCTGGCACATTTGTAGATAAATCTCTCAGGCCATCAGCTTCGTCACTGGTGCTCCTCTTGGACAGTGTCACTCAGGAATTATCTCTCCTTTCATCTGCCACTCTTCATTTGCTGCCCTTGTTACTCTGTGGTATAAGGCTTAGCCAATCGATGTGGGCAGCTTTCTCCCACTCTCTCCTTTTTCCGCTTCAGGCTCTGGATCAAATCCTCAAGACTCCCAGCAAATGTTCTGCCCAGTCCTCAGTAGGGCCACCCCATCCCTGGCCAAGAGTCCGAAGATCAGTTCTAAAGTACAGCTCAGAAATCCAAATCCAGCTCTCACGCACCATGTTCTCAGCCTGCTATTCACTTCCCAAATCTGTCTTTCTCTTCTGAATCCCTTGTCCTCCATGCAGGTAGTACTGGAATAACACCTATGCCCTTCAGGGATTTAGTTTGTCTTTTTTTCCCCAAAGACTTCACCAAACCTTTGTGATGCATTTTAGGTTCCTTCTAGGGGCATCATTTGTCCCCACATGAATAACCAGACCTGGGCAGTGGCTGTCAGTTCTGACATGTCTCAGGAGGCTTTCTGTCAAGTCCTGAATGCATGCCCCAAGAATCTAGCAGACTTCTGTGTTGTTTATGTCATGTTGGCAAATGGGCACCATCATGCCCCTTGGCAAAGAGCCTCCACTCCCCCGCCACTCACCTGTCCTTCCTCTATCCATCACCAAATAACTTCTCACCTGAGGACAATCTGAGAGCCTTCCTTTCCTTCTCTGCCTCCCATTGTTCATCCTCCAGTCTCCTGGTTTGCTCTCTGTCTCTTCACATCTTTTTTCCTCTTTTTGCCTTATTAAATCATTTCTAATTGATTTTGGCCAGGATTTCACTAACGGAGGAAACTGATTGAAGAAGCTCCTAATACCGAAGTAGATGGACAACTGCTCAGAGAGTTGCCTGAGGCACTGAGATGTTAAATGACTAACCCAGGCTCCTACAGCTTACATGATCAGAGGCAGGATTTGAACCCGTGTCTTCCAGAACCACTACAGTGTGATGCCTCTGGAAAGAGAACCGGACCTGGGCTTCAGTCCTGTGTGACTTTAGATCAGTCATTTAACCTGTAAATCAAAGGGGTTGGACATAACAGCATCCAATGGGCTCTATGATCTTATAAGCCATATTGGTCAGCTAGGTGGCACCATAGTGCACAAAGCCCCTGGCTTGGGGACAGGAAGACTCATCTTCATGAGTTCAAATCTGGCCTCAGACACTTACTAGCTGTGTGACCCTGGACAAGTTGCTTAACCTTGTTTGCCTCAGTTTCCTCATCTGTAAAATAAGCTAGAGAAGGAGATGGCAAACCACTCCAGTATCTCTGCCAAGAAAACCCCAAATGGGGTCATGAAGAGTCAGACATGACAGAAACAACTGCACAATAACAACAACTTTGGGGGTGGAAACAGGGAGGATCATTAGAGGCTCTGGATAGAAGGTAGCACCTGAGATATCTTCTAAAGGAAACCAGAAATTCCAAGAGGTGGAAGCCCAATCCTCAATCCTTTTTTTTTTCCTTTTCTGAACCTCTCTTGGCAAAACCTTGTGGCAAACTATCTCTTTGCAATAATAATGGCCAGCATTTATACAGTGCTTTAAGGTTTGCAATAACCCTTATGATCTCCGTTTTACAGATAAGCAGACTGAGGCAAACAGAGATTATGTGACTTGCCCAGGGTCACACAGTTAGTAAGTGTCTGAGGCTGGATTTGAACTCAGATCTTCTTGATTCCAAGCTCAGCTGATTCCATCTCCAAAGCGTGTTACCTGTGTGACTTCGGACAAGTCACTCAGCCTCTTAGACCTCAGTTTCCTCATCTATAAAATGAAGGGTTTGGCCTCTTTGCAATTAAAAAACTGGGGGTCTCCTGAGCGAGGCTTTGTTTATTCTCGACAGTTTCTGGACTTTTCTTAGAAGATGGGACAAAGCAAAGTGCTCAGGTACCTTGAATTGTTAGTACATTCTTGTCGTATCCAGACAAAGCCAAGAGGAGCCAATCCAAAGCAGAAATGTAATTAGCCAGTGACAAGAATCTACCTGAATCTCTGTGGTGCTAAAAGCTAGGTGACTTGCTTGGGTTTCCTTGGCCCCATTTTACAGATAGAGGAATAGGCTTGGAGACCAGCTGGCTGTGATCCAGTCAGAAGCCAGGTGCCGAGCAGGGAGCTCCCCAGACCCCAAGGCCATTCCATGAGCATTTAGAAACTCCCCTCTACATGCAGGGGAAGTAGGAGCTCTCCAGGCTTCAACAAACTTTCATTAAGTTCCTACTCAGGGCCAAAGCACCTGCCCCTGGGGACCTTATGATGGGGGAGGGAGGGAGGAAATAGCATCTACATAGATAATGCTTGCTGCTTGGATCGCTGTGGGCCCTCTGATGAGCCCAAGCTCATGGAGGGACCCTGCTGCCCTGAGCCTAGGGCATGAAAGGCCACCTTGCAGCCTTGCTCCACTCGCTTTTCCCCACTAGAAAGGATTCAGTTACCTGAACCTGTCAGAGTAGCTCGTCAAATGTGGCCAAAAGTCCAATAAACCACGTGGAGAAGACTATGGCTATGCCAGCTCCCTGGAAACACTGGATCCTCAAGCGGGTGGGGCTGGGGCAGGGACAATTAGCACGGATTCTGAAATCTTCAGTCTTTTCTCTACCTTAAAAATAATGATAATAGTAATGATGATGACGATCTATCATAACGATAGCTCACATTGCTATCCAGTCTTAACATTTACAAGGTTTTCTCAGAACAATGTTGGGAGGTTGGCCAAACTAAGGGTCCTTGTCCCCATTTGACAGATGAACAAACTGAGGTCCAGAGACATCTCAGGGTCACATGGTTAATTAAGCATCATCACTGAGACTTGAACCCGGGTCTAATGACTCCAAAACCAATTAAAAGACCACACTGCTGCACATTTTCCCACTGAAAAGGCTTCTCTCTGGTACTAAGGCAGGATGGAGACACTCTAAGGAAGATTCCTCATGGTGGCCTGTCTACACAGCAGCTAGCTCTGAGACTAATGTGAAACATTTCCTGCCTCCAGGAAGCTCGCATTTTATCAGGAGAGATACCCATATTCCATATAGGTCTTCTAGCATGTGGTGGGTGCTTAATCAATGCTTGACACCTGCTGCTTCCTGGAGAAAGGTGAGGAATGAGGCATACATCTTCAGACATGGCCAATGTGCTGATTTCTTTTGCTTCACTATATTTCTTCGTTACAAGGTTCTATCTGAAGTAGGGAAGTGGGAGAGTCATTTGGAAGAGACAGCTATGTTGTTTGGGGGGACCCCTGGCTCTGGAGTCAGAGGCCCTAAGTTCAAATCCTGTCTTTGAAATATATTACCTGTGTGACCTTGGGCAAGTCCCTTAACTTCCCTGGGCCCAAGATACCTCATCTATAAAATGAGGGGATTGGACCAGGAGACTCTTCCAGACCAGCATTTAAAGAGTCCTTTAAGAATTACCTAGTGCTTTACATATGTTATTTCATTTAACCCTCACAACATTCCTGGGAGGTAGGTGCTATTATTATCCCCATTTTACAGGTGAGGGAACTGAGGCTGAGTGTGGTTAAATGACTTGCCCAGTGTCACTCAGATTTGAACTTAGATCTTTCTGACTCCAAGTCCAATACTATCCTTTGAAACAGAGACAGACAAGTGGAAGCAAAGTCTAGAAGTAGAAAGACAGAGTTTTCTGTCAAAAAACTATTCCCAGAGCCCTCTCTGTCACCTGATTATCTCAGCCTTCCCCACCTCTCCTAGGACTCTTCTCTGTCTCCTGTCTCTATTTCTTCCCAATAATCTTGTAACTAGGAAGTCAGGATGGCTCTGAAGAACCCCCCAGCAGGGACCGTGAATCTTTGGTGTCCAGGTGTGGGGAAAGATGAGCTAGGGGAGGGGAAGGGGGTCCCAGGGATTGATGAGGGAGAGCAGATTCCAGAGGGCAAAGGTAACCTAGCAACCACAACATAGAAAGTCACAATGCAAAGCCTCTGGCCGGACAGAAGTCTGGAGACTCCAAAGTTCCCCCTGAGCTCCGGCCATCCAAGGGAGTATTGCCCACATGATAGAGCTGACAGCCGAAGCAGTGAGTCTGGAGATCTGCTTGGGGAGCCAAACCCAGAGGCAGGCTTAGGGGGCTGCTATATCCCCCTCTGGAGAGGGACCTGCAGCAGATCTGAGCAGCAGGGCTGGGCAGGAGGCAGGAACCTGGCCACCCAACAAGACCCAGAACCCTAGGTTAGTTCCTGGCTGGAATCTCAGCCCCGCTGCTTACTAGCTGCGTAACCTCTGGAAAGGCCCTCACCCTCTCTAAACCTTGGTTTCTTTTTCTATAAAATGAAGGAGGTAGACCAGATGACCTCTAAGGTCCCTTCCAGCTCTAAAAGCTAGGAATCCTTTTTCACCCAAATTTGGTGGTAAGCAAGAAGGGGGTGAGGCTGGGAGGAGTTTTGAAACTGATGAGGTATAGCGAGAGAAATAGATTAACAATCAACCCCGAGACATGTACCCCCTTCTCTCCAGATCTCAGGCCAGCTCAGCTCTTTCTCCGTGGACATCTGAGCCACCTTCCCTGTCGATCCTTTCCTGATGTCCCAGAGCAGTTACTAGGGTCCCTACCCAGCAGAGAGTCAGGGGGGCTGGATAGAGCTCAGTTGGAAGAAGAGCCCTCCCCAAGTGTGGAAAACCACTAGGGAGAGAATGGGGAGATGAGTGACTTTAGATAGAAGGGGATTCTAGAAGACCAGGGGAAGCTAACCTGACCTGCTGGCCAGCGGCCTGCCTGGCTTTGTCGAGGTGATCTCAGACCTTCTGGACTTTCCCTGGGAAGTCCGTGCCTCGTAGGCTAGTCATGCCAGCCTGGAGAAGTTTGGGCAGGGGGTTGTTCACTTCTGAGGCTGGGGGTCAGTCCTGAAGCTATCTCAGGCCCACCAAGCCCCAGTCTCTGACCTCAAGGACGACCTTAAGAAGTAGATTAAGGGGCAGCTAGGTGGCACAGTGGATAGAACATCAGCCCTGGATTCAGGAGGACCTGAGTTCAAATCCGGCCTCAGACACATAATACTTACTAGCTGTGTGACCCTGGGCAAGTCACTTAACCCCATTGCCTAGCCAAAAAAAAAAAAAAAAAGAGTAGATTAAGCTTCATTCCGCCAGAAGCCTCCCCAGTCCCCACATCTGTCTCTATCTATTTGTCTCCCCATCTCTCTCTCCCTTGATCACTATACGTCTCTATCTCTGTTTTTGTCTCTCTTTCTTTCTCTTTCTGTCTCTCTGTATTTTTCTGTCTGTCTCTCTCTTTCCCCCTCCCTTTCTCTACCTCTATCTTTGTCTCTCTGTCTCTCTGTGTCTGTCTCCCTCTGTCTCTTTCTGTCTCTCTGTATTTTTCTGTCTTTCTGTCTCTCTCTTTCCCCCTCCCTTTCTCTACCTCTATCTTTGTCTCTCTGTCTTTCTTTCTCTCTGTCTCCCTCTGTCTCTGTCTCTCTTTGTCTCTCTGTCTCTCTGTGTCTGTCCTCTGTCTCTGTCTCTCTCTTCCTTCTCCCTGCATGTCTCTATCTCTCTTTCTCTGTCTATTTGTCTCTCTGCTTCTTTCTCTGTCTCATTCAGACACTGTTACCAACAGCCACTTGGCCTTGTTTTAGAATCCTGAAATAACCCCAGAAGATAAGATCGACATGTCGGACCATTCTCAAATAAAGTAAGTTGACCCCCACAACCAATGACCAGGGGAGGCTGTGGGACATGAGGATGGATGGGGAGGGATGGGGAAAGGGAGCAATTAAGGACAAAAAGAGGTTCAGGCTGACACCGTATTTCCTTCATGATTCTTCACCCAAATGGGTGTAACAATCCACCAAAGACAAGGATGAAGAACGCTTCAGTTCAGGTCGATTCAGCGAGAGGGCATTAAGTGCCTGCTGTGCCCTTGACTGGCAGTGAGAGGAGGCATACCTTTTAGATGAGCTATTAGACTATAAGCGTGGCGAGGGCAGACATTGGGTTTTACCCTGGCTTTGAACCTCCTCTGGGTCTGGTCCAGTAGGTACTTTTTCTGCTTATTTCTTCAGTGTTTGTTGATGTGTTTTTAACAATGTATTACTGGTGCTCTCCTCCCAGTGACCATCCCCTACTACTGCCAACAGCCCTCCTCATCACAAATAAATATGCTTAAGCAAAGCAAATCCACACATTGGGCCATGTCTGATAATGCATGCCCCTTTCCTTACCTGTAGCCCACCACTCTTTGCCAAGAGGTTGGCAATATGCTTTGCTGTTGAGAAAGCTGAGCTGTACAAAGGAAAGACTGCTCCACTCGGGTCAGATAGCCTAGGTTCCAATCCTGCATCTGCCTTTTGCATAGCCTTGGGTGAGTCGCCTTATCTTTGTGGACCTCAATTTCCTCATTTGTAAAATGAGGCCTCCAACATTGCTTCTAGCTCTAGATGAATGATCCTGTAAGCTAGAAACATGCCTGGGACTTGGACCTGAAGGTCCCTTCCAGCTCCAGGGCGATGGTGGCTGGTCTCAATGAGTTTTGAAGTCTTCCTGGGTTGTTTTCTTTGACATTTTGGTGGTGGTCCTGTAAATTGTTGTACATTGGTTGTTGTATCGATGACATCACTATGATGCACAATAATCCAGGAGAAGGGAGTGTTCTAGTACTGTGACTAGATGAGTATAAAGCACTTCCACTGGAGAAACTCCATCTACCAATACCCTTTAGCAACTTCTAGTCTTGAGAGCGGCCTGGAATCACTGAAAAGTAAAGTACAGCTTGAGTGTTCAGAGGCAGGACTTGAACCCGGGTCCTTCCGTCCCCAAGGCCAGCCTTCTCCCCACTGTGGCCATGCTGCCTCTCATAAGGCCACTGGGGTAGGTGGTAAATGAAGTACTGCGTGGGAGAGCTCATTACCGACAGAAAGAATCAATCTGACAGAACCTGCAGGAGAAGGAAGCATGTGAAGAGGCTTTAAGGGATGAGCAGTAAAGGGGGGGAGGGGAGGCATTCTAGGCTTGGGGAAGACTGGAAGCAACTGCCCGGAGGCAGGAAAGCTTGGGGCATCTTAACTACCAACTGAGGCCCAGGAGGCCCAGTGCCTTGGGAGGCCTGCCTGGAGTGGGCCCCAGCTGGGGGCTTCCATCGAGGCCCTGAGCATTTTCTAAAGAGAAGGGGGAAGGGAAGCTTCCTATCTAGGTGATGTCCGAGGCTTCCCCACTCAGAGAAACTGGGAAGCCACTGGGAAGGGGGCCAACGTGAAGCTCCCACTCAAACTTCCACAAGCTCTGTCCTCCTGGGGTCACTGCCGGCTCTCTCCTGAGTCCTCTGGGGTCAGATGGTCGAAACTCCGAAAGGGCCCCCAAGGGCCACCCAGGCCCACCCCCTCATTTTGCAAACAAGGAAACTGAGGCTTGGGAAGTCAAGTGACTTGACTAAAGTTGCAGAGGTAATAAGTGATAGAGTGGAATTCAAAATCAAGTCCTCAGACTCCAAATCCAGAGCTTTTTCTGCTGTACCATAATCAGAAGTTTATCCACTGCTCAGACCATCTAGACCACCTCTCCACACCCATACCCACACACACACACACACACACCTGCTTCTAATCAAGGCAAACTGTCACCCTGTAACACCACTCCCCACCCCCAGCCAACTGAATGTGCTTCAAGCACCAGAACTGTGCCCTAGGTGATCTGGGCCTGTCACTGGCCTCACCTTCCTCACCTGTAAGGTGAGAGGACTGGACTAGATAGCCTACGGAAATTCCTTCCAGCCTTAGAGCTTCGCTCCTAAGTTACTTTCCCCCTCTGAGCTCATTTTCCCCATCAGTAAAATGGGCATAGAAATTATTGTGCCCCACTCCCCACCTAGTTTACTGGGTCACTGCAGGGAAAACACCTTACAAGCCTTAAGAAGATGTAGAAAGATGGGTTTTCAAAAAAAAGAAAGAAAGAAAGAAAGAAAGAAAGAAGAAAAAAGAAAGAAAGAAAGAAAGAAAGAAAGAAAGAAAGAAAGAAGAAAGAAGAAAGAAAGAAAGATAGGTAGATAGATAGATAGGTAGATAGATAGATAGATAGATAGATAGATAGATAGATAGATAGATAGATAGATAGATAGATAGATGGGCTTTCACTAGAGAAATAAAGGCAAGGGCTTCACTGGCCCAAGGGAGGATGCTGGGCCCCTGCCAAGTTCTGTCTCTGGGGGATAGTCTTACACGCGCTTCCAGGCTTTGCTTGGGTAGCAGTAGCTGGGTCTCAGCACACCCCCAGCGCACGGAAAGTCCCTCTCCTCCTACCCCTAAGACCGCCAGCCCCTTCCACTTCCCCTTTAAATGACCATCACACCATCCCCAGCCATTTGGAGGAGAAGGTAAGTGCTAACAACCTTCACTTTCTGGAATTTGGAGATGATCCCTGGGTTTGGTCAAATGGGAACCCTCTCACAATAACCTGGGATTTGGAGGTGGGAGACCGGAGTTCAGATCCTAGACCTGTGACTCTGGGCCAGTACTCGGGTCCGCTCCAGAGCTAACATTCTGTTACTGAATGATTGTGTGTTGGAGAGGCAGAATGATGGAGCCAGAGGAGGCCTGGTTCTGGCATCAGAGGCCCTTGGCTTGCATTTCACTTCTGGTGCTTGTTACCTGTTCGACTTCGGGCAAGGTTCTTCACTACCTCCCTGGGCTTCAGTGTCCTCATCTGTAAAATGGGAAGATCAGCCTAGATGTTTTCAAAAGCCCCGTCCAGCCCTGACAGCCCGTGATCCTGACTCGCCATCAGGGGGGTGCCGGGTTGGGGGCCACGGAGCCACCTTCCCCTTCTGCCTCTGTTCAGTCTCAGGGCCAAGACCAGCACGTTGAGAAAGGACTTAGTGAGGAAGTCCAGGAGCCGGAGCACCTCCCGCCAGAAAGAAACAGCACTCACTCCCAGGAGGGCAGAGATCTGCCTCCAGGAAGTGCCCAGAGTCGACCGGTCCCGGTCCCAGAGCACCCCCCGCTTTGGGCAGCTCAGCCACAACTCTTTCTTCTCCAGACACAATCCTCATCCCAATCACATTCAAGGTAAGCGGGGGAGCAGGTGCAGAGAGGGGAGAAGCAGGAAACAGACAACAGGAAGGGGGGACAAATGTCAGTGTCGGGGATAGAGGCATAGAGGAAGCATGATTCTCCCCAAACTGGAAGTAATAATAAAAACAAATTAATAATAATAACAAAAATAGCAACTATTAGCATTCATGTAGCTCTTTTAAGGCTTACAAAGTACTTTACAAATATGTTATCCTCTCAACAACTCAGGCAGGTAGATATCATTATTATCCCCACTTTACAGATAAGGAAACTGAAATAGGTAGAAACCAAGGGGCTTGACTAGATTCACACAGTGTCTGAGGCAGGATTTGAACTCAGATCTTCCTGACTTCAGGTCCAAGCATTCTCTCCACTGTACTACCTACTTGCCTTTCAGAAGGAGCTCCCCACAGACAATAGGGGAGCCCCAGAAGTTCAGATCACCAAGCAGATTCAGGCCATGGCTGCTCCCCCCCCCACTCCCAAAATCCCTATAGAAGAATTTCCAAAAGTCCAGCTGGCCCTCCCTCCACATCCCAAGCATGAGCCTAAGCAGCATAATCCTCCATCCATTAGATTCACCTCCATTTTAAAAAATACAATATTGGGAAATTAAGGCATGGAATTTGAGAGAAGGGATGGGGAACCAGGAACAGGAGCCAAAAATCCCGAGTCCTAGATCAGACAGGACTCTGTTCTCTGGGCCAGCTTTGGAGAACTCCTGAAAAGACCCCTGAACTGGAAACCAGGAGACATAGACCTACAATCCTGCCAGAATGTGAATAAGTTTGTTTTCTTTTCCCCAACCTCTCTGTGCCTCAGTTTCCTCACTTGTAAAATGGACCTGCAAACACATTTACTGCCTACCTCTAAGAATTGTGAGGATCCCGTGAGATAGTGGCTTCCAAGTACTAGACAAACCTTAAATCTCTATGTAAATGCCAGCTTTTATTTATTAATAACATTCAAGGAGGGTTTTCTCTGGCTAGAAGAGACCTCAGATGCTCCTCTGCCTTTTCGCATCCAAACAGCATTGTAAAAATAGATGATCTTCAGAAAGTACCTTAAAAATTGCATTTTACGCCTTTACTCTAAGGGACACAGAGAGAGAGAGATTCGACATGAGATTTCATTGACATAGGGGACATTCGAAGGGGAGTAAACGCCCTGCATCGGAGCTCCCCAAATCTCCATTCCTTTGTCCCTAGAGATCACCAATTTAGAACTAGAAGGGACCCAACAGGTGATCTAGACCCATGCACCCCCCCTTACCTCCACTCCCCTTTTAAAGATAATTAGGTGATGGAATAATTGAATTAAAGCTGGAAAAGACTTTAGAAGCCATCTAATCCAACTCCTTCTCATTTCACAGATGAGAATCCCAGAGAAGGGAAATGACTTTCCCAGAGTGTTTGGCAGAGGGTTTTGAACCTCTCCCTACCCTAACCTCAATGGTTGTCCTTGACATTTGCATATGCTGCCACCAGGTGGAGGCAGAGACTCAGATCCATTGATCTAAGTAGAGAATTCTAAATCTTAGGTTGTCACTGGGGATTAAAAAGGACTGGGAGAAAGACATTTCCCTGGAATGTCGAGGCTAACTCCATAGCAACTTGAGGTTCAGTTCAGGAAGGAGGAGGAGGACTGAGGGGGACATTGATGGCTTATTTCTTTGACTGCCCTCTGTGTTTCGGAACTTGTGCATGAGCTCCTGGGAGTCATTGACACTGTCCCCATTCCAGTGGGGCAAAAGAAATATTGCCCCATGCCCAAGACCCACATTAGCCCTTGAGAGCCAGGGACCCCTTTTCCAAGGAAAGCCTAGAAACACAAGCTATCAAATGAGCACAAGAGGAGATTTCCCAAGGCTGAGCCATGAGCCAGAGAGAGGCACTGACCTTTTCCAGGATCTGGCCCAGAATTGGTCTATTTGAGGCCAGGGTCTTTGGTCACCCTTACATGCACACAGGTTGTTTTGCCCTCCTCCCACAGGAGATGATTCACACCCTCGTGTCTAACTTTTAAAATGGCAGCCCTTCAAATACTTGAAGACAGCTGTGCGATTTGCCCTGCCCCAGGTCTCCCCCTTGTGGATTGATTCATGAGGGCAGAGATCCCTGCTTACTCCTACTCATCTCCTCATCCTATCTGAATGTGAATCCCTAGACGCGGATTCCCTTGCTTTTCCATTTGTATACTCAGAGCTCAGCCCAGGGTTCTGTACTTAGTGCTTAATAAGTGCCTTTCTCATTCATTTACTAGTGCCTATGTGACCTTAGGCGATCTACTTGCCCAACCTCTCTGGGATGAAGTCTTGGCTTCCATAAAATGATGGGGCTGGACTAGGTTGCTATGACACTTGGCAGCCATGACACTTTCCTTCTATGACAACTTATGACATTCTCATTTTTGTCTGTGTATCTCCAGTGCCTAGCATGGTACTTGGCACAGAGAAGGCGCTTAATAAATCTTGTTGAATTGAACAGACATTCAATAAGGGAATGAATAACCCTAACCTTATTTGCCAAACCTAAGAGGGAATGAGAGGTAGCTGCATGGAGAATTGATCTGGGAGCCAGGAAGAGGTCTGTTCAAGTCCTGTCTCTCACATGGACTGGTCGTGACTGGTTGTGTGATTCTGGGCAAGCCACCTAATTTCTCAGTGCTTTAGGAATTGCCTATAAGCTTCTGAGAAGGTGTCAACGTGCATTGGTAAAGCTGGACTCCTTATCCAGGTATTCTTTATACCAATGAAATCACAGGTTCAGTCTCTGTCCCTATGAATGAATGAATGAATGAATGAATGAATGAATGAATGAATGAATACTTCTCACCTCCCAGTCCAACATCTCCCTCTTCCCTGGCAGATCTTTCTGGGAATCCCATTTGCACTGTAAGAGACAACATAACTCACCCTTCACTGCCTCTACCTGGACCCAGTTCCAACATCTCCACCAACATTTTAGGAGCACCCCAAGTCCAGATGCCCATCGGAGACCCACAGTACCTCGTGGAACCCCGCTTAACCCTGAGTAGGTACAGCAGCAGCCCTTCAGAGACATCCCAAGGATATCTTTGTGCCCAGATCTGGGGTTTGTGGCCGTCTCCCTTTTCCCCAAGGGTGGCCTTATGCAGGAGGGAAAGGAGGAGGTCACATTACAAGGTGATAGCTGAGAAGTTGTGTAGTTTGCATCTAAGATTTTTCTCCCCCCCCCAATATGTCACCCTCCCCCCATAAACCTGTGCCTAGGAGTCTACAAACCTAAGATCCTCAGAACTGTTCCCTTCATCCCTCCTTCCCAGTCTCTTTAAGACAAAGATCTGGTCTTCTTCTGCCTTCCCCCCTTAAAAGGAAAGGAGAGAAAGCTTGTTGGGACAGAAGGAAGAGAGAGGCAGGATGTACCTGTTTCCTGCCTCCTATTCTTACTTTTAAAATATGGGAGGAAAAGAAGAAAGTTGGACCTCCAGTGAAAAGTTTTTCCTAGCAGAGCTATAACTGGATATTCTGACCCCAGGGGAATATTCACTGAAGTTGGGATTGGGAACAGGGAGCAGCTTATAGTCTAAGGGGTATAAACAATCCCAGTATGGCAAAAAGAGAAGCTGAAGAGTTTGAGGAACCAGGAATCCAGGGGCACAAAGGGGAAGAGGATAGCACAGTGGGAAAAGAGGGCAGAGGAGGATGGGGGCTGGGCAAAGCTAAGGCTAAGTTGAAGAGCACTGAGAGTGTGGGCAGAGGCAATGAAATTGCAGAAAGAGTTTCAAAGGCCGGGAGAAAGTATGTCCTGGAAAAAATAGCCTAAAAATGGTTCTATTCATGGGAGGTTGGAGGGGAGGGAAAAATAGAGTTGTCCTTTCCCTCCTTCTCCCCCTTCTCCCTGGATTTCTGCCCCTGTCAGCCTGATTCCTCTGCCTTTTCCTGGAGCTACCTTAGTCTCCCCATTCTCCAACATGTCACAGGTCAATAGAAGTGTAGGGACAGAGGCTCCGGTTTGCTTCAAGAGGAAGCAGTGTTTCCCCATCCCCTTCCCCACTCCAGGAAAGAAACAATATCCCCTAGATGTTGATGCTTTGGTCCAAATCCTTCATCTTAGTTGTAGTTCTGTTTCCTTGTGTGAGATGCTTGAGGATGAAGGAAGGGGAGGCTTCTGCCACTAGACCAGAGACCAGAGACCAGAGATCTTGACAGGTACTAGGTTATGAAGTCCTTCTCCTAGCACTCCCACTCTGTCCCCTGTCCTGGCCTCTTCTCTTAGGTTCATTGTCAAGTATTTGGAGAGAGGAGCTAAAGCAACTGGCCTCCAAGGTGGCTGCCTTCTCCAAGGAAGCAGAGTTGAAGAAGAAAAAGGTGGGTGAGAACTCAGCTGAGGTGAGGAGTGAGCTAGGGAGAGGGGAGAGAGAACTGACCTGGGAAGGAGAGGAAGGGGAAAAAGGAAGGAGAAGAAGGGGAGAAAATAGTTGAGGAGGGAGGGAAAAACAGAGCTGGGGGGAGGGGAGAACTGAGATGCGGGAAGGAGGGAAGGAGGAGGGGAAAAGGGAAGGTGGGGGAGGTGAGAAAGAGTTGGGGAAAAGGAGGGCAGGGAGACCAGAGCTGGGTAGAAGGGAGTAGGTGAAGGCATAGCTGCGGGGAGGAGAAGGGAGATATGTAAAGACAGAGCTGGGGGGAGGGTTTGGAGGAAGCAATTTAGGGCCAAAGAAAAAGAGGGCATTGGGCCCGTGTTATCCCACCCTCTCTGGGATGGCACCATATAATAAAGAGCATCAGCAGAGTGATTTTGGAATTGGCCTCCTCTTAGCTGACCTAAACTAAGAATCAAAGGCCGTGATTTCAGGGTCCTAGCTCCTCTATTAATTAGCTCTTCAATCCCCCAGGGAAAATCACTTCACCTTTATGAGCCTCCATTTCCCTATTTGTATAAGAAAGGATATAATTATAAAATAACAGGCACCTTAGGGATTATCCAATTCCCTAATTCTACAGAAGAAACTCCCAGAGAGGAAAAAGCACTTGTCTGGGGTCAGGAGTCTAGCTAGTAGGAGAAATAGGCCTTGAATTGAGTCTCTGAAGCCCTAAGACCACTTCCTTCCCCTTTAAATAAGCATGATCTTACTGCCCTCTGCTTGAGAGGAGACCATCGCTGTCTTGTTTCTCCCATGCCCTGAGATGGCCAGAGCTGCTGGCCCAGGGTAGAGCATGGAAGTGGGGTTTTCTAGGTCAGACAAGAGGCAGGCCCCTCCTTCTCTCCTCTGAGATATGAGTCCTCCTAGGAGCCACAAGCTCACCCCATCCTCTCATTTGACAGAATCAGAGATTAAGTCACTTGTTCAAGGTCTAAGTGGGTATTTAAAGTTAGGCCCAAACTCTGGTCTACCAACTCCACAAGTCTCCATTCTCAGGAAACTTAGAATTTCATGTTGGAGAGAAAAGATATAAACAGGTAAAACCACGGGAGACAACGCTGTCAAATGTTGCACACAGTAGGTCCTTCATAAATATCTGCTTGAAGTTGTCTTGCTGAGACTCCAAAGGGAGCAGGTGCTCAGAGCAGGGGGATGTTATGGTGACCTTCCTGAAGGAGGAGGAACTTCAGCTGGGCCCTGGAGAGGTGGGTAGAATTAGGCATACAGAAGAGACAGAGAAAATACTTCAGGCTGGAGAAGTGCCATGCTTGACACCTAGTAAGTGCTTAATAAATACTTGTTGATTTAGTAAAGAAAGATGAGGTAGATACCAGCCTAGTTGTTTCTTCTGGGTTCTGTCTCTTGCTTCTCTGTCCTGAGTCTCTTCCAGAAGAGTCCCAGCCTTGTCACCAGCTGGGTGACATTGGCCAAGTCCCTTCCCTTCTCTGGCCCTCGACATTCTCTTCTCTGATAGGACAGGCTGGCCTGGATGGGGGCTGAGGTCCCTTCCAGGATTGACCATCTGTAATTCTGTCAGAAGGAAGAGACAGAGAGGTTGGCCCAATACTCCCCAATGACGGGAAGGCTCATCCCAGGCTACATACGGACCATGACAAGCCGAGCCCCCCGAACCTCCCATAGAGGCAACCTTGAGAGCAAAGATATGATGCCTGCTGTCCAGGACCAAGAACTACTGGTGAGTGTGAGAGGTGAAGAGGAGAAGCCCAGGGAGGCCAGCTCCCAAGCTTCACAATGAGGCCCTGGGCCTCCCAACGAGCCCAATCCTTATCCACTAGATGGCTGTTAACCAGAGCTGCGCATTTGTCCCAAATGGGGCTAGCCTTCATTAAAATGGATCCTCCCAATCCTGTGTCTTATCCCTGTTCTCAGCTATGTATTAACTCATCTCTGATGAAGGCCTGTGCAATAACACCTTCCCCAGGACCCTTCCAGAAGACATTTTTTAAAGGAGGGAAGGGGAAGAAATGGACTCTTGAAGCCAAAGGAATGAAGCTCTAATAATGAATAACTGGAGGATAAGGAGTTACATATGGGGAATAGGGTCTCTTGCTGGTGCCACAATCACATATACTCACAGTTTGGTAGCATAACAAATAGTGTTGGACTTGGAGTAAGGAAAGACCTGAGTTCAAATTCTTCTTTGGACAATTACTAGCTGTGTGGCCTTGAGCAAGTCACTTAATCATCTCTCTCAGCCTGTTTTCTCATCTATGAAATGGGGATAATAATAGCACCTACGTCTCCCAAAGTTGTAACAAGGATGGAAGGAGACAATATTTTAAAGTGCTTTACAAACATTAAAACACTATATAAATATTCACTATTATTATTATTATTATTATTATTATTATTATTATTATTACCGTCATCTTCATACTAGGGATATCATGATTAGCCATGTTCTTAACCCCCTGAATTCCCAAGCAGGACAGGTCCTGGCCATTGTCAAATTAGGCTATGAATCACCCAGAACTCACTGGTCCCTAGAGTTCCCTGGAAACTCCTCACTTGAGTGGATGAAGCATGAAAGGCCCTTGGCTGAATGTGAATATTTATCTAGGAAGGCATCAGATATTTATATTTTAACACAAGCCAGTCTCTTAGCTCTCTCTCTGTCTCTGTCTGTGTGTGTCTCTGTCTCTCTGTCTCATACACAGAGAGGGAGAGGGAGAGGGAGAGAGAGAGAGAGAGAGAGAGAGAGAGAGAGAGCGAGAGAGAGAGAGAGCGAGAGAGGAGAGAGAGAGAGAGAGAGAGAGAGAGAGAGAGAGAGAGAGAGAGAGAGAGAGAGAGAGAGCAGGGCCCTAAGGAGAAAGGGAAATGGAATGAATAGGTTTTGATGGGGAGAGGCTCTGAACTGGAGAGAGGGTGGGTTCCCATAATGGGCAGAGACCTAAAAATTACCTTTTGTTCCATTTCATGATTTTACTGAGAAAGCCCATTGCTATGTCGGAACAGAGCTTGACTCTGGGACATAGATTTCTGAACTTGCCCCCTCCAATGAACTACTTTATACCAAGGATTCTGAAATTGGAGACTGGTTCTACCTGGGGCCCTGAGTCTGTGGCTACCATATGGTGGCCCTAGGAAGAGTCTGAACCTCCCTCCCCACCCTGAAATGAAGGTGAGACCTGAGCCCTAGGAGTTGGGTGCAGTCCCTAGAGGACATCCTAGGGGGGCAGGCCCATTTCTAGCTGATGCCAAGAAAGGTGAAAGAAATGGAGTCACCCCAAGAATGTAGGGAGCTAAAACAGTGACTTTAACATGTCAGTTCTGTGCAGTTCTCCCTTATCCCTGGGGATGAGGATGAACAAGAGTTATCCTTGCTCACTGACATGGCACCATCTGACTACATTCAGGCTGGATTGCACAGTTCTGAACCTAATGTTACAGTCAAGGCTACCCACCTTAGAGGGGAACAGAAAGTACATGGACATCTCTAGTACTCAGAATAATCACACACCCAAGTATTCCTGGAGATGAGATGGCAGGTGGGGATGGGAGAAGGGCATGGAAAATGTCCAACTATAGCTGTGAGCTCTGATCCCCATGATCAAGTGAGCTCATGAGTTCAGTCATACTTACCTGCCTACCAGACTCTTCTGCCAACAGATCCTGGAACTGCTGTGTCAAATCCTACAGACAGATTCTCTGACTGCCATCCAGTACTGGCTTATCTCAGCTAGCCCCAGGGGTAAGGTCCTACAGAGTGAGGCAGAACACATTAGGTCAACTGGTCTCTCAGGTCCCTTCCAACTCTCAAGATTCTGGGATTCCTGGAGTCCTTCATTCTAAGGGGCCAAAACCCTGAGTTTCTATAACTATGTGAAGCCCTTGGGCAGGACACAGATATTTTGCCAAGCAAGGTCCCCTCTCCTTTCCTCATGGTCCTCCCATGAGACCCTCACAGAGCAAGGGACCACTAGATGCAGAACTCAAAGTGACCTGGGAAATACCGGACATTCACTCCCGAAAGACATTCAAGACACATTCCAGGTCTCATACACACTTATTAGTTTGATTCAGTTCCATTAGACAAGCATTTATTAAATACCTACTATATGCATTGTAATGTAGTAGATAGAAAACCTTCCTCGGAGTCAGGAAGATCTAGGTTCAAATTGTACTTCTGACTGATAACTGGCTGTGCAACCCTAGACAAGCCTTCTTCAGCTTCTCAGAGCTTCCCAGGGAACTCTGAGATGCAGCAGGTGCTGGGTCTCCATTGGTAGAGAGTTCCGTACATCGAATCATATGTCCAGTATCCAAAAAAAAAAATCACAGATACATGACAAAAAAGAAAAATCTGGTAATGCTCAAGGCATTGGAGACATAAAGACAAAAATGTACAAGGCAGCATTTAACATGAGCCTTGAAGGTTCATCTACGTGAAGATGCTGAGGGATGGAGGCATCAAAGGTGTAGTCTCAGGTATGGAGGTGGAGGGTTCATGGCAGGTGGGATTCCTAAAGGTGAACGCTTGACAGAGAGTGGGCAGTCCTTTACGGGAAGAGGGAGAGGAGAGAGAAGGGTGGGGAGGAGGGGGGCTGCTACAAAGCCAACATGAGGAAGAAAGGAAGGAGACTTCTCTCTCTCTCAGGCCAGCCCTGAATTCTCCTATGCCAGAGATGAGGCTGCCAAAAAGGCGAACTTGCCTCTTAGATCCTGAGCACCTGTCCAGATGGGTCCAGAGGACCAGGGAGTCAGGATGGGGTGGGTCTGATGACCAGTGCGCACACACACACACACACACACACACACACACACACACACACACACACACACACACACACACACACACACACACACACACCCCTCCCTTTCCCACTGCCCCTGCTCACCGTTATACACCCTCATTGCAGAAAAGGACCTAGTCCTGGGTCTTCTCCAGACGGCTGTGGCTGGGCTGATACCCGAGCCCCTGATATGCTTGCCAGAGGACAGGATCATGACAACTCGGTCCATCAGCCCCAACAACCCAGCCTTTCTCGGTCAAAGCCTGACACTACAGAGGAGTCTGAAACAAAGGTGGGCCAAACCTGAGGTCACGCTGGATAGAAGTCCCAGCACATAATCAAATCATTAAAAGTCCCAATTGGTGAGACCTTAGAAATCATACAGTCCAATGACTTTCATTTACTGGAGAAAGAAACTGAGGCCCAGAGATGAGAAGAGACCCTCCCAAGGCACCTCTCATCTGAGGCTACATTAGCCCAGGCCTCCTTTACCCTCTTGCCCTCCTGGAGGGCCAATATATTTAACCTCCCCTCAACCTTGTAAAGTGGGCAAGGCAGATGCTTAGAGAATCAGGGTCCAAACCCTCATTCTATATAGAAGGAAACTGAGGCCCAGAGGAGTTACATGATTTGTCCAAGGGCACCAGAAGTAAAGGGAAGAGTCAGAATCCTAAAGCAAGTGCTGGGGTTCCAACTTGCCACAGTTGAAAGGGACCTCAAAGTCTGTCTGGCCAACCCCCTGATTCCTGAGCAGGAATCCTTTTTAGAATGTCCCCAAAAGGGGAACACCTGGAAGTCTTCAGGCAGAGCAGGGCATCTGAACTAAGGAGAATTCTAATTGTTTCACCTGACCACATAATTATAACTAGTTGCTAAAGCAGACCTGAGTTCAAATCTCACCTCTTAACATTCACTAGCTCTGTGTTTATGCCCAACTCACAGAACATCTCTGAGCCTCAGTTTCCCCGTCTATAAAACAGGCTTAATAATAGTGCCCACCTCAGCAGGTTGTTGTCAGGCTCAAAGGAGACAATGTATACAAAGCCCTTCGCAAACCTTCAAGCGCTGTATACATTTCAGTTACATTTGTTGTCTTGGGGAACAAGTTAACATTCCCCCATCCTCCAAGAAATACAGGATTTCATCAGCACTGAGTCATATTTTTAACATCTTCCATCCCAGAGTCATAACTAGGAATTCTGGTGCCTATAGCAGAGATGGGGGGGAGGGACATTTGACACTCAGAGGGTAATCTTCCCTGGTTGGGTACAGAGCAGTTGTGACAATGCTCCTGGAAGGAAGGGCACAGAAGAAAGTCTCCTTCCCACCTCTACAATGATACCTGTGGTCCAACAGACCCTCAGTGGAACAGAAGTTGTGGTCACACAGGTAGGGTAGGGTGGGATCCTTATGGTGTCTTAAGGTAAAGCCTACACACACACACACACACACACACACACACACACACACACACACACCAGGAAGTGATACAATAGGAAAAGAAAAGAGGACTTAGGCTCCATCTCCTGGAAGGTTGGCAACCTGGGGCAGAGCCCTGGTTTCCCTCTACAGTTATGGCTCTGACCCATCCCTATAACATTCAGAGGCAGATGTCATTCACCTGGAGGTCCAGAGGATCCCACCCTTATCAGTGCTGACTTTTACTGTAATATCATTGACATGACATCATGAAGGTCCTATCCCTGCCCAACCCTTGGAATCCCTGCAGGCTCCTGGGTGGGGGGGGGAAAGTTTTAAAGGTAGCAGATTTCATTTTAATGTAAGGAAAAAATATCTAATGATGAGATCTACCCAAAAGTAAAATAGGCTGCCACAGGAAGAACTCAATGTGCCCCTCTTGGGGAAGGTCTTCAGACAAAGGCTGGATGACCACTTGCCAGGAAGGTCAGAGGGGATTCTTGGTCAGGTATAGAGGAAACTAGCCAGCCACCCAGGTCTCTTCTAAATCACTGAGAAAATGGGGGCTAGCCTCTATCTAGCTGAGGAAGTCTAGAATTATCTGCATTTCTGATCCAAGGATTCTTTACCATAGCCTCCAGATTTCTTGGAATCAAATCTTGCCAAATGATGATGATGATTACTAATAATGATAATAACAATAGTAAATCTAGGCAGTCCTGAAGATAATCCACACTGACCAGACTAGCTTTTGGCTCCTCCTGGCAGCTTCTCCTGAAGGGAGTAACCCATTGGCCACCAAAATACAAGGAATGGGAGAATCAATGGCCCAGCCTAGAAGCGCACACATACACACACACACACACACACACTCACGCACCTCCAATACACACACACACTCCTACTCCACTTCTAACTGACTGAATGTCAGTAACAAACTTCTCTATGTTTGGTCGTAGTCAAGACAGACCAAAAGAAAAGGCAGAATCTGTATTATCACATGAAAAACCAGGTAAAATCCATTCCACTCAAAAATCTAAAGACTCAAGTTTCTCAAGCTGTGTTCTGTGGTCATGGAAATAGGGGTGCCAGGAGAATAGTGTGACATTAGTAAGTCACCTGGTAGCGGCCATCCCTGCCTCCACCCTGATCGCTGAGGGGGTTGGCCAAGCCAGGGACCCCCTCCCTCTCCTGCTTTTCACTCCCAACCCAAAGCTCAGACTGTTCAGCCACCCTGTCTAGAGGGGCTAGTGTCTGCAAAATGAAGTCAGTTTGGCCCCAAATCAGAGCTGCTCCCAGCTTCAGTGCCCTACCCCTTCCTCCTCTAGGAGTTATAAAATACTGAATGGATGGAATAGTGCCAAAATCAAAGACCAGCTTATTCCCAGTGGGACTTCGGGCTCCTACTGAAAAGGATAAGGCTGGCCTTGCCTCCCTATGTTCTGTTTGGACTCCAAATCCTGTTATATTAGCTTGAGCCCTCCTAAGGGCCCAGGCCTCACTGGAGCAGCCGATGATAATTACATATCACTTTAAATTTCTCAAAGTGCTCTATTTACATTAATTTCCTTCAACTCTCACAGTAACCCTATGAGGTATAGATACCAAAGATGATGTGATTTTTTTTACAGATGAGGAAACCAAGGCGCAGGAAGGGAAAGGGATTTGTACAGGGTCGCATAGTGTCCAAGGCAGCTGATAGATAGATCACAGCCCCAGACTTGGAACCAGGAATAATCCTGCCTCAGACAACAGAACTAAATATGCCTCTCTGTAGTGACCCACCCCATCCAATCACTCCACTGCCCCTAGTACTGCCCTCTTGGGCAAGGCAGAACAAGCCTTAGCCCGCAGTCACAGGATGGCCCTTCCAATACTTCACTGACTCTCCCACCTTAGATAGCATGTCTTCTAGGAATGAACTAGAATAAACAATTTTTGGCATATAGTAAGTGCTTATAAATGCTTTAAACTACCTCCTACAGCTGCCTCTCCATCAAAGCTTGATTACCCAGTGAGGTTTGTCGATGTCCATACTAAAATGTGGCACCAAGAACCGGACTTAAGACCCCCGAGGTCAGCTGGCCAGGGCCCCATGCCCCCCCTCCAAGAAGATAAATGAATCAGCTCAAAGTCTTAATGCAGTGCTTGGCACATATTAGCCAATTAAGAAATGTGGGTGGATTGATAAAGGGAGGGATTGATGTCTGGACAAGAAGGGGTCTCCCTCTAGCTTGAGGTCCTCTGTGAGACCCGACCAATCAGCCCCAACTCCTTGACCGTGTCTGCCAGGACAGACTTTCCTTTGTAGCTGAACCTGTCACAGGCAAACAGAGATTTGACCATCAGGGCAGCCATGTGGTAAGTATGCCAAGGCATCATGGGAAAGAGGGCTTACTCAATCAGGTCCAGGCCCAGCTCAGGAGAGCGACTGGTCCAAAGTCACACAATCCCATCCTAGGATGTGGGTCTAGAAGGGGCCTAGTCCAACTTTTTTATTTTATTTGTTTATTTAACCAGGGTCTGGAGAAGGGAAATTACTTGGTCATGGTCACATAGGAAGTAAGCCACCACGCCAAGATTAGAACTTCTGACTCTGAGCTGGGCACCCTTGCCTCCCTTGCACCCACAGCTTGGTCTCAGACTCCAGGGCAGAACTAGGTTGGAGACGCTGAGCAACCTTCTCCTTCCCCTTCTTCCCCTCCCTTCCTCTCCCTTCCCTTCTTAGCATCATTTCTCTTTCCCCAGAATGCATTGGCAAAGCTGAGGTTCTACAGTTGTGCAAAAATCCAGAAGAAAGAAGAAGATGTAACTGAGCCCCTGAAGGACTCCCCCCATCTACACAACCGTCCCATGCAACGGCACTTCCTACTTGACGCTGGGGGTTCTCCTGAGGGACGGCCTTCATACGGGTGACTCCCTGGTGCGATCTCTGTAAAATAAAATACGTTGTCTTTGGTTTACAAAGATAACACTGCTGACCCACACTCCCTAGGCCACGCGCTCTGAGTGGTTATTCCAGGAGAGGGGATGATCTCCACTGAAGCATCCCCTCCCCTACCCAAGTAAGCCCAGACAGAGTCTACCCTGCCTGCAGCTAGCCCTCCCACATACCCATAGCTCCCAAGGAGGCCAAAGGCTTGGAGGCAATTTTCCCCTGGCACGGCCCAGAACAAGGCTCTCCCCTGTCTTGGACCTCTGGGCCACTGAGACTTCTGGGCAGGTAGTCAGCTCCAGGCCAATGAGGATGACTTCATCTGGCCCAGCCTCCCACCCATCCCTAGCTGTCCCTATCGCCTGCTTCAATTTAAACAAGGATTTCTCAGACTTTTCCTAGGATTGTAAATTTAGATCTGGGAGAGACAATTTTCTTGTCATTGTCGAGTCGTTTTCAGCGTGTCTGACTCTTGGTGACCCCATTTGGGGTTTTCTTGGCAAACATCCTGGAGTGGCTGGCCATTAAAGCACCTTGCTTTACAGATGAGGAAACCGAGGCCCAGAGAGAGCAAGACAGTGTCTGAGGCAGAATGTGGACACAGCTCTCTCCCAGTCCAAGCCCAGCACTCTCCCCTTTGCCTCCTGAGTGGCCTCATCCGCAGGAAGACCCTGGGACAGACTCTGGAAATGCAAAGATAGATATGACACAGCCCTGCCCTCTTTTGGAGAAGAGACTTGGGGCCAAATAACACGACCAAGGCGGAGCGGAGCAGGGCCAAGGACACAGCAGACAACCCATTTGGACGTCTCTCATGATGACCTCACTACTGTTATTAAGCCACGGCTCTGATGGTTGGAAAGCTCCTTTACTGAGACCCACGATGCTTCGCTGCCCCAGCCCCACACCGGCCCTGGCTCTGCCCTCCAGACCAGGGCGTCTGAACCTCCTTTGGTCCCCTCGGCCAGTCAGTCTGGGCGTGTCTATGGCCCCCTTCTGAGAAGCATGTTTAAGTAAAATATAAAGGAAATATTAGTGAAAATAAAGATGTGTTTTTTCCCATCCAGGTTCACAGACTCTCTGATATCTCTGGGGGATCCATGGACTCCAGGCTAAGGACCCCTGCTCTATCTAGGGCCAAGCAGAACAAATTCAGTCTTTCTTTCAGCTTCTTGCCCACAGCCTTCTCTTTTCCAGGCTAAATAGTCCCTTTTCCTTCCAATGACTTCCTGATTCTCCACTGTTTTCCTAATCATAGATTAGGGGTCAGGGAAGAAGGAAAGGAAGTTGTCACCTGACCTAGACCAGACTTAGCCTAGCACCAGTTTATGGGATGCCTGGTCTCTGCCTCTAAGCAGGACTGGGACAGGGTAGAGTATGCCTAGAATGGGGACCTAAGGGCTTTATGGTCCCCCACATGAGCTGTGGACCCACCCCAGTTTTTAAACCCCTTTCCCAGCTTCTCTGTTTCCCTGCTGAATCCAAAGGATCTCTTCCTGGAACTAGCTCTGCCTGCCAGGTGTAGGGGGAACATGACAATGAGAAGAATCAAAGTTAGTAAGACTTTATCAAGGCCCTCCTGGGTGCAAAGTATAAATCCTATGGCATTCCCAGCCTTATGGAGCTTAGAATCTGGCAGTGACAGCCTGGATATGAGGCATGTTCTGATCCTTGCAACAGAAACACATTTCTAGAGTGCTCTGTAGAGCTCTGTACAGATGGTATCTCTCGGTAAATGACTAAGTCCCTAATAAGGACTAACCGACGTGCGGAGTCTAAGGGGGAGTATGGAAGGCTTCCTGAAGGAGGTGGCTTTTGGTTGGAGCTTTAAAGGGATGTTAGAAATTCAACTGGTAATGGGGGGAGGGAAGGCATTCCAGGCACTGGAAACAGCCTAAGCAAAGGTGAGGAGGAAGGAAAACTTGGTGTGTTGGTAGAGGGGGGAGAGTCATGGAATGGGGCTGCAGCACAGTGAGCATGGAGGGAGCAGGGCATAAGGTGGTACGAGGTTACAGAGGGTTCTGAATGGCAGGTTAAGGAGGTAAGATATTATTACTTGGTAGGTAATAATCGCCAGTATTTATATGGCCCTCTAAGGTTTGTCAAGCACTCTGAGTGCGTTACCTTGTCTGATTCTCACAAACACCCTGTGAGGTTGGACTCATGAGGCCTTGGATTTGCCCAGGGTCACACGAGATTTGAACCCAAGTCTTCCTGACTCTGTTGTGCCCCCTAGCAGGCTCCATAGAGAGCAAGTGAAGACTTTTCAGTTAGAGGAGTAGCATATAGAAGCTTATTCTGGCATTGGTACAAAGGGTGGAATGGGATGGAGAGCAGGACCACAGGTAAGGAGGCTTTTACAATAGTCAGGGGACAGGTAATGAGAGATCTGATTCCTTTCATCCATCCCATTTATCCATCCGTTCATTAATTAATCCATCCATCCATCCACCCATTTAATCATCCATTTATTCACCTAGTCTTCCATCCATCCATCCATCCACTCATTTATCCATCCATGTATTCATTTATTCATCCACTCATTTATTCAAAAAGCATTTGTTCAGCCTCTCTTATAGACCAGCCCTGTTCTTGAAAGGCACTGGATTTGGACCCTGAGCATCTGGATTTGAATCCTGTTTCCTTCCTCTATAATCCCTTCTAGTCCCAAATTAGGCTCTTCTCATCCTATGCCTTCCCTTCTCTAAGTATATAGGAAGGGGACTATGGGTGTACATTATCACATGAAATCACTGTTAGTTTTTTTTCCTTAACTGATTTTCCTTGTACAGGGTGGGGCACATACTTGGTAAATGACTCTTTTGTAAAAACACAAGGCAGAACAAAGAACACTAGTTTTGGAGTCAATGGACCTGGATTCAAATCCCATTCTATCACTACCTATGAGTCTTCCTCTGACTTGTTTACCTTCCCTGACCCTCAATCTCCCCACATACAAATAGAGAGTGTAGGGCCAGATGCCCTCTGAAGCCCCTTCCAGCTCTACATCTCGGACCCCTGATCAGATGCCTTCTAAGGTCCTTTTCATTTCCAGCATCCTTTTATCAGGGCTCTAATGTCCACATTTTATATAAAAGGAAACTGAAGCTCAGGAGAATGAAGGGGCTGGGTCATGGTCCTAGTAAACATCAGCACCAGGCCTGTACATTGGCACTAAATTCTGCTTCTTTCCCTCAGTACCAAGTTCTCTACCAGGTCTAACTTTCTAAGATTCCTATGAGCTTCTGAACTCTCCAGAGCCTCTCCAAGGTTGAAAATAAAGTGATGAAAATATGGGGTTCGGGGGGGGGATGGGGGACAGAGGAGACAGAATTGTGCTTCTTGCTCTGCAACTACAGTTGAGAACCACAAATGAATGTTCTCCCAGTGTCCAAATCCTGACCAGACAGGTCTCACCCCCCTACGTTGTGTATGGTGCCTTCTAGGTTCTGTTTTCTTTGCTCTTTATCAGTTCATACAAATCTTCCCAAGCTTTTCTGAATTCTTCATACCTCAGACCATTTGGGATGAGTGAACTTGGGACAAGGTTAGACCTCGAAAATGTTTCACCTAAAATAAGACAATTTCGTGTGTTTGTCCTATCCAGTAGTGCTCTGTCTTGTACCAATAATACAAATAGCCCACATTTCTAAAGTGATTTAAGATTACAAAGTGCTTTCCTCACAGTAGTCTGGGGGTTGGAGGAGGGGGGTGCAGTTTGAATTCTGTTTTACCTTAAGCAATTTTTTTCTGTAAGCCTCAATTTCATCTGAAATGGGGGGGAAAGGGTAGGTAAAAAAGATTTCTAGCAAGATGGTAGGGGGAAGGGTCATAAGTGGACCTGCTTTCCAGAATTCCCTGCAGAACAATGAAAAAAACATAAAAAAAAAGAATAGTGGTAAACAAAAATATTTTTAAAAGGCTATCACATAAAAAGAAGAGAAACAGTAAAAGAAATGAGCAAGTTGGGGAAGGGGGGAGACTAGAACATAATCAATGAATCTTAGGGGCCAAAAGAAACCAAAGAGAAAACACTAGAAGGGGTGGGGGTGGGGATGGCCAATTAAAATCTACAATGACCACAAAAAGCTAGAATTTTGATGAGGCATATCAACTTGGATAACAAATACACAGAACAGATATCAGCAATAAAGAAACATGGCAAAATGATAGCTTTACTGCATGAAAAAGGCATGGAAAATATAAATAAAACTGAATGCTGAGAAAAGTGTCCTACTGGAAGACAAACCAGAAACAGCGCAAACCAAATTTCAAAATAAAATCGAAGGACAATTCAACTGGAAGGATGTTTTATGACTTAGTTACCAAGCATGATGGAATTTGAGCACAGATCTTCAAAAGAAAACATGAATTTTCAAACCCAAAAGAGTGAAGATAAAAAATCTGACCATTATATTTCAGAGAATCATACAAGAAAGGGTCCCAGCATTATCAAAATTAAGGAAGAGAAGAATTGTTTTTCATATACTTGGGATCTTGCCGTCTGCAAGACACCATTAGCAATAAACTCCAGATGCAACTCACTCAGACATATTATCTTTAGATTCCAAAGCTACAACAACAAATTATTTTACTGTTACTCATGAAGAAAAATATTACCTGTCATGAAAAACCAATCTGAATTGCACAAGACTTTACACATAAGATAAGGAACAATGGAAAGGGCTGGATTATGATTGAGGGAAATTGAGCTTCACTCAGCTAGGTTAAGTCTACTTTTTGAGAATAAGAGAAGGACACCTGGCATGCCTTAACAATTCTAGGAATTTTTATTTTTATTTTATTGAAGAAAACAAGCCTTGGCAGGGCATTTGATGTGCAAATCAACCTAGAAGTAGAAATTCAACAGGAAAAATCCTTTAAAATTTTATAACTATGAATAACTGATAATTTGAATTCTAATCCAAAAAAGGCAGAAATTTGAAGCCCTTCTTTTACAGACCATATT